AGGGGGCCTGGGGCCCAAGGACCTCACCAGCCTCAGGGCTCGCAGGTGTTCCCTCTCCTCTGCCCATCTGGTCACATAGATCATGGCCGTGGCCTCAGTTTGTGCCTCCTCAGGCTACAGAGAGATGAGTGGGTTGGGGGGGATCGGGAGTCCCCCAGGCTGCGCAGAGCGAAGGAATGGGGGACGGAGGGGATAGCTGGGAAAGGAAAGGGAGGGGAGGGGGAGAGATGGGGAGAGAGCCAGAGGGAGACTGATGTCTGTGGTCTGCATTCCCTGGGTCCCTTTTAGCAGTGTTAATGTTCCAGGCTGGCGACAAGAAGGCTCCTCAATAATTAAACTGATAGACATGAGAGGCTGGGCGAGAAACTTAAAAGCCATTTACAGCAGCAGAAAGGTTGAGCTTTGGGGAGGGAGGTCAGGAGCAGGAGGCTCAGGCAGGAGGGGACGAGGGAGGGGCCCCTTGGGGGGCCCTGGGGAGCTGCCTTGTCAGGTGTCTATTTCAAAGGGCACCACGGTGGGTCCCAGCCCAGCTCCTTCTCCCACCAAGGCCATTAGCGAGCCTGCTGGGAACTTCTACCGGAGTCTGTGATTGCAGCTCTTCTTCCTCCAAGAGGTGGATTTGCTGTGTGTGGCTGAGAGGAGCTCTGGCTTCGGGGGCACTAGGGTTGGTTTCCGGCCTAGAGAATGCTAATGGGGTGCAGTCAGGGTGTGAACAAAACTCACACGTGGCGGAGCTGGAAGGGGCCAACTCCCCATCCTGCAGATGCAGAAACTGAGCCCTGATTAGGTGGCAGCAGGGCAAGGATGGAAGTCAGGTCCCCAGCTTCCAGACCTGACTCCTCCCAGGCTGCCTGCCGAAAAAACCAGGTTGAAAGTGGGACTCAATCCCAGGCCTTCCCTGGGAATCAGAAGTCCTGACTTTGGGAAGCCATGGGCCTGACAGCTTATCTCCCTTACTTCCCTGCTCCCACCCGCTCCATCATCCTTATTTTGGCTCTGTTCTCCTGGGAGAGGGGATATTGATGGATGTATAGAAACCTTTGGAGGAGATTCTGGATGCAGAGGATGTGGCCTATACAAGGCTGTACTGTGGGGACAGCCCAGGTTCTGGAGCCAGTGAGGCCGCCATATCCATTCACTATATTAGTCATTTACACCACAGTGTGAAAGAGCCAAAGAAGATCTTCTCCTGAGAGCAACCATTGGTTGGGGGAGAAGAACATACTAAGTGCCTTGGAAGGAAGCACTTGTCAAATCCTGGACCTGTAAGAACACAGAAGGATCCAGAAATCATTTCATTGAGTCCCTTGCTCATTTTACAGTGGAGAAAAAAAACCTGAGACTTGGAGAAGGGGAGATTTCACAGTGTGCTGGCTAAGAATTTGGACTCTGGAGCCAGGCAGCCATTGCCACTTTGGCAAATTGTTTAGCCTGTTTGTGCCTCAGTTTCCTCATTTGTAAAATGGCGGTGATAATGGTCTCTTATGTGGGAATTAAGAGTTCATGTTCACAAAAGGCCTAGTGCGGTGTCTGGCACACAGTCAGCCCACAGGAAATGTCATTGCACAGCTTGTAGCTGGGCCTGAAGTCAGCATGAGAGACTCGTCCATGTGGAAAGAGGCTGGAGCCGGTGGGCAGTGACAGACGGTGACCTTTGAGGCTGATCTTGGAGAGCTCCCACCATCTGCTGGGTCTCTTGTGTCTCCCTGCAGAGTGTTGAGACTGAGCAGCCCACTTAACTTTTGGATAATGAGAGTTTTCTCGCTGTCACAGCAGTGGGGATGGGAAGCAGTGGGGAGGAGTGGAAGGAGGGCACGAAGGGACAGGCGGAGGAGGCGATGGAGGGGACGCTGGCCAGCGGGTGGGTGGGCCGGTGCCCCGCTTCCCGAGAGAGGCCCGGCCAGGATGCTGGTGATTGACGTCAGCCCTCCCTGCACCACCTCGGCCTGGCTGAGCTCTCGGCCCACGTGGGGCTGTAAGTGCTTGAAGGTTCCTGGCTGCTTCTAGGGAAAGCTGCCTGCCTGGTGCTTGGCTTGTCTTCTCCTCAGCGCCTAGCCCAGGGCTCCTGGGGAAACTTTGTGGCTTAGCCAACACCAGCTATTCTGTGGAGGATGTGGGTTTTGTGTCTTCCAAGTATTTTCACTGCACAACTAGGAGAAACTTTCACGACAGCCCAGACGCTCTTCCACGGCCTGGCCATCTTCCTCGAAGACAGCTCTGTCCTCCCAGTGCCCTGGCCAAAAACCTGGCAGCATTTGACCACCCTCTTTCTACTGCTAGCAAACCCTGCGGCCTCTCCTTTCTGAATGCATCCTGGAGATGAGCACTCCTCACCCTCCCG